GGAACTCTTTGCTTAAAATGTGCATTTTTAAAACTTAACATTGTAATGATAAGACTGCAACTCTCATGTTTGATTTGTTTTTAAGTATTGGTTTATCCAAATCTCTTTTGTTTGCATTGAAGTGATGACTGATTTCAGGACAACCTATTTAGGTTTATTTGTATGATTAGCATGGTTATGTGTTATTGAAAGCAATGTTGAGATGATTCACATAAGGGCTGATATAGTTATGATCGCATCTATTTGCTGTTAGCAACTGTATTTGAGTGAAGTTGTTCAACCTGTACATACTCATTGTTGCATACATGTTGGCATGGTAATAGCCAAACTATTGCTGTCATTAGAATTTTGTATAGGGGCTTTGATCTTGGATTGAGAAGTTTTTTTAGGCCTAGAAGGGTGCATTTATGTTCCAAATTGCTACTGTTATAAGGCTTACAGGTTTGCCTTTGTGTTTGGAGTCTTAGACTTTGTCTTAAGTGATTTATCCTTGTCAAGTTAGGGCTCACCACAGTAACTATCAGTTTGTTTTTACACACTGTTTTCAAGTTGCAATCTCTTGTTTAGAAGTGCATATTAACAAGTCTTTAAGAGCATCAACATGGTTGAATTTTGCTTTGTCTCTGCCAAGGATTGTTGGTGGTTTAAGTAGGATAATTCATATTTGTTTATCAATATGTTTGTGGGCTGGTTAGCATAATTATATCAGAGTATGATTGCTTCAGTCTTGGCAGCACATTATTGGCAGATTCAAGTTTGTTTAAAATGTGGTTCATCTTTGTAAACTTTGGTTTTTGAAGTCTGATTGATTAAATTTGTTGATGTTGAGGTTTTCCAACTTAACCTTTCATCCAATCTCAGTTGGTGGTATGATATTATCCATGTCATAATTGCTGCTTAGGTCAGTTTGAATTTGATTGGTATGTTGTGGCCATATGGAGTTTTGATCCTTGATTTCTGTCAGCTTCCTGCTTTGAGTTTGGACAACCATTAGTATCATCAAGTTTCTTATTCATTGTAACTCACAATCAGTGACAGTGTGGTCTATTGAACTTTTCTTTGCCTTTAAGTTACTTGTTTCAAACATTATGCCAATTCCATCTTAAACCAATTTCATTAAAATTGCAACTTGAGGTCCCTTTGTGATTCAGTGAGAGATTGACCTCATCTCCTTGAGCATCATCATAAGCAGTGCATTTAAGGAGTAAGCAGATCCTTTACTTGTATGAGAATGCATTTGTTTTGATCTTACCACTGCAAATTGCTTTGCGAAATTCACAGTTGCATACCATTTCTTGCTATGATGTGTTTTAAACAAATACTCCTGTTGGAACCTATTCCTTTACATATTTGGAACTTGCTCAAGCCACTTTTTACCTTTAATTGCATCTGTTTCAACTCATTGTGTTTCAAAATGCATCTCAACATCTACTTTACATGCTACATCGTGTTTTAAGTTGTGGGCATCATTTCAAAAATGGACAACACCATCATGATCCTCATGAAAAATCAAGTGATTTTGACTAAAATTTCATTTAATTTGGTTAAGATTTGAAGAAGTTAGGATGAAATCGTTTTTCATGTTTCACTTGATTCTTGCCTTGAAGATTGCCCAGAATTTGCGCCTATTTTTGGTATATATGCGTATGGGGTGGCTTGATACAACGGATGTATCGCCACCCCAGTGGTTATTGCCTTGCCCATAAGTACTTTATAATGCCAATGAACCTGTGTTTGACCCTCAACGAGGGTGCTTTTTTGTGATTTTCCATGTTTTCACTATTTGTTCTTTCTTTTCCATTATAAGTCACACGCTTGAAGTGGTTGGATTGGTCTTATTTTAGGTCCATGACCCCAAGGTCTTGGGTTCAAGCCTTGGGTGAGACACTTCTTTACTTTTTAGCATTTGGTTTATTTTAATTTCATTTAATTTCATTTTAAATTTCAATTTACCATAACTTCACCATTTTAAATCATTTTTAGGTGATTCTTTTTGCTAAATTCTTATTTTATTGCATACTTTTATAAAATGTTTAAAGAATTCTAAAATTTCATTTTTAGAAACACTTTACATTAAAGAAAGTTGTAATTCATTTTAGGGTTATTACCTCTCTATCTCTCATTTCTTCATTTCAAAATTTTGATTTTATTCTCTTTGAGTTTTTTAATTTGAAATTATGAACATGGATTGTTAGCTTCCTTGAGTATTTAAGTTTGAATCTCAACTTTGCTTGTACGCATTTAAGTGGTTCACTTTTAAAAACTGTTGATTATCCCCATGAGGTTTTGAACCTTTTGTTTTCATTGTTGTGACATTGTGTGGTTACGTATGATTATCCTTTACCTTTACCCTTTATCATAGCCTTAGGATCTGAGTCTTCGTACTCATGTTTAGCGTCCCGCCATGGACATTCTTTACCACAAAAATCTCAACGTAGATTCAGGAGTCGCCGCACTCCATGTAAGTACTTCCCTATGAATGCTTACACCCCTTTGAACCTTGACCACAGTCAAGAGTTCCTCACCCCTAGTTAGGGGAACTACGAACGCTCTGATTTCTCGTTAAGAAACATAGGCACAAGATGCGACGTCTTGGAGAACCCACTAACTTAATAATAATTAACTTCCTGTTAACATTTGCAACTTAGGATTGGAGTCGCCGTGCTCCATGTAGTTGTCCTGCCGTGGACATGTCCCATGTTTACCTTTGCCATAGGACTTGGAGTCGCCGTGCTCTATTTAGTCGTCCCTCCGTGGACATTCTCTTCCTTGCTAACTTAATTTAGTTTAGAGTCGCCGCACTCTATGTAGGTGTCTCACCGCAGACATTTACTTGCATCCCTTTGGAACCTTGACCACAGTCAATAGTTCCTCACCCCTAGTTAGGGGAACTACGATTGCTCTAATTCCATTCCCGTCCGGATACGTAGGTATGAGATGCAATGTCTTTGCGAGCATACTTTGTATATACTTTAGATCTTTACCCTTAGCACTTTCCCTTTAGCAAGCAACTTTAGCATAACACAAATACTAACAAGAGGTTCCTGTAGAGTACTACAGATGTTTAGGATGTAAAATACCTACCATAGACATAACTAACCCCTGAACCTTTAGATCTCTTAACTTTGTTGTTACGTAGCGCAAAAAAGTTTTTCTTTCTTTAAACCTTTCATTTGGATAAATTAAAGTCCGGTTGTGAATTTAAGAATTAAGATTCAAGTTAATCAATAGCTTGATATCACGATTCTCACCGCAGCACATATCTTTCTAAAAGCTCTCAATATTAGTTGATATTCCTAAGAATAATTCTTAGGGACACGAGTATGCCAATTTAGGTCGAACTTGTATAAATATCTGATATTTTTTATCCCTTTATTTTATCATCTTTCCATTGATTTTCCATTTATCTTTTTATTTCGCTAAATATTTACTTATTTGTTTTAAAAAATATTTTCAAACTCAAATTTTTTAAAATATTTTTTTCAACAATGTTTTTCAAATATATAAAATTCACCCCTCTTATGCATGAAATTACAAGTTGAACATTAACTAAATCAAATATTAGGTCACTTAAAAAAAAGATTGAGGGTATATTCATCCTTTGTTGGCAAAGGCCCCCTCCCTCCCCTTCTCCAGGGATTGCTAAACTTATAGAAAAAACAACGTATATAACCTCATGAAAGCTAGCTAAATATGTATTAAGCAAATTAGAAGTAACTTTCTTGCCTAACATATTCAAGGGTTAACAACACTTCCTATTTTTATAATATTAGTTTATTCTTACCTAACTAACTAATTCATTAAATTTATTGAAAATGTCCACAATCTTAATAGGAGTATTCTCAACAAATCTAGGTATTACACTGTCTTTTCAAGTTGAACTTGCATATATCATTCTAGTTACATATATCATTCTAGCTATAGAGCATGCTTTTAGGAGAGAATGAATTGAACTTTGACTTGAAAGTGATTCTCTTTTTGTCATCCAAGCATTCACTTATATTCCCATTTGTCCCTTATCGAAATGAAAAATTACTTTTGATGAGACTATTTTAATATGTGTAAAAGATGATTTGATGCAATATACTATTTGGTTTAATCATTTTTATTTAAATTTAATTAAAATATATTGTTAGTATAAAAAGATTTTATATTGTCAATGAATCATAGACGTTAGATATTGAAAGATGTTTGACTTTTATTTTAACGACTAGAAAAATAATAGAAACAGTCAATAGTAATGCATTGACAGTGTAAAATTTTTTACAGTGACAATACATAGTAATTAATCTCCTTTTATTTTTGTTAATATTTTTTTATTGATGAATTAGGTTTTTCCTTTTGCATCTTCTCTTCTTATTTATACCAATGAAGAAAAAGAAAGAAAGAAAAGTATCTTTTCTTTTAAATTTTTTTAATTTAGAGATTAAACGTTATGCATTCTTAGGGTAAAAAGTTTTATATTGTCAATATATCGCTATTATTTGTTGTATTACTTTTTAAGTGGTTAAAATAAAAATTAAATATTTTAAATAAATTAACAATTCTGATTAACTTATACTATAAAATATCTTTACACTGTGGGTCGGTGTATGTCAATTAAATTTTTTAATTTATTAAAAAACTAATTAATTAAACTCTTAAATTTACTGTAAAAATAATTTTTTATAATTATAAATTAGAGTTTAATTATTATTTACTGATAATTTAAAATAATTTTATTATATCGTCCAATAAAAATATATTACTCTGTTATGTCATACAATTAATCAATCACTCTCATGTCATATAATTAGATACATAAAAGTGATTAGTGTAAAATAATTTTATAATCTTAACGCATATTAATTAAATTCTATAAAATGATAAATAAATGAAAAGTGGTTTGAAAAATTAGAGACAGCGTGGCTGGCTGTCCCACCATTAAAAAAAATCTGGAAATTTTCTGGTTGCAATTTGACTTAGTTTATTGAGAAGAAAACTAAAAAAGGATTTGGAGAATGGCATTGACATGGTCGAACATGGCGAACAAGACGATGTTGTTTGAGGTATCGTGCAGTAGTAGAAAGAGAGACAGTGGTATCCACCCATACAAAGTCGTTGAGATTACTCCTCCACCCAAATCTCTTGGCGTTCGTTCTCTTCCACCCGTAAGTTTCCATCTTCACCATTTTTGTTTAGATCTTGCGTCGATTAAGCAATGGCTTATCATTAAAATCTAGCGAATGAGACTCTTTTGCATTAGTTTCCGAATTGTTAACTGGAATCATATTTAAGGGTTTTTTAAGTCATTAAGTTTCAGACTTGAAAATGTTATTGGAAGCTTTCCCGAGAGTTGGAGTCCTTTGCTGAAATAATTTGAACTGCTATGTATACTTAACACCAATTTGTGACAGAAACTACTAATTGAAGAGGAAAAACTGTCAATGATTTGCTTCTTTTGGTGAACCCTAAGCCTACTTAACGAATGGTCTTCTACATGCCTCTCAATAAAGGGAATGTTGAATGAGAGAAAAATAGAAAGACATACGGTGAAATCATACAAAGGGATGACAAACAAATCCGTACCTGTTGATAAAATCCGTCACGGATATGAGACAAATAGTTTAATGGAATAAATGAATATTTAAATATCCGTTTGTTAATAGATATAGATACGGGTTTAATGATATCCGTGTATGCGGATATCAAATTAATAAATTATAAAAATTATTTAAATATTATTAACTTATTATATCTAATATTTTCATCTTTTAAAAAAAATTAATCTTCTTATATTTTATATACCTAATCAAATCGCATAAAAGAAATAAATACTGGATTTGGGCTTAATCCCAACAAGTGAGCTTGGCAAACAAGTGGGATGTCAGCAGGATTGATGTTTCTACGCATCTGCAAACTGAGTTGGTTTAACGGGGCAATCCTAATCTTATTTTAAACAACAAACATTTTTACATTCAAGGATACTTTTCCATGTGTAAAAAAGGCTACTTTAAAAACTATATTGCAAATATTTGACTTGCTATTCTAGAATAAAGATTTGATACAAGTCTCTAACATTGATATGCTGCTATAAAATCCATTGAAGTTAAAAAGCAGTGATTCTGTTTTGCTTCTTTAGTGAACCCTTTTTTATTGGAGTTTGCATCTCGCTCGAAAGAGTGAATGTCAGTGGCTTCTTTACAGGCTTTCCTAAAATTGACCTTTGCAGAATGGATGGATAAAGTTTTATATTATATAGATCTTTTGATATGAGAACATGTGATGAAAAAATGCAATCATTTCTAAGATGCAGGCTGCATATAATTGAAGACAACCCATGTGTTGGACCTTAAAATACAAAATTCAAAAGGATATTAAAAATTGAAGAATATTAATTTTATGCTTGTGGCTATGATTTCTTCTTTAGGATCACTATTTTCTTTTTAGTTCAGACAATTTTGATCTAAGGCGTGTCTGTTGTCCGACACATTCAATTAATTAATTTTCTCAAATTATTACGAGTGACGGGTCTGTTGTCTGTATCTATGTCATTGCTTCATAATCTCTATTTATCTCTTTTTTCTTAATAGAAAAACATTATAAGAGAATGCAGATGGGTCCATCTGAGATTAGAAATTGAAGCAAGGTGTTTGGTTAACTAGCTGTGAATGTTCCTTTGCCTTTAGGGTTCTGAAAGCAGAAAAGTTTTGGTAGATTCTTAAGTTCAACTTTTCATAACTTGTTCAGTAAAGCAATGTTTGATCACCTGTCATGTCTTGTATTATTACCCTCCTGATTCAATTATTCATACTCGTGATCCAACACATCTTGTTTTGGGCGATACGATTAATTATATCTGTGAGAAAGAAAAAAGAAACATGACACATTCAGTTGTATTGTGTCCAAGTAAAGTGATATCGTTTATTTATTTTATTGTTTAAAGCAGAACTTGCAGTGTGGGGAGAGTGTCACAATTGAAGGACAAGCTTATACTATATCAGCTGTAACACTTCGATATCAGCTTCGCAAAGGAAAATACGAACAAACCGAGAAGAGGCTCGATGTTTTGTCAACAGGAAGATACTTAGTAAATTTGTATTTTGAAAATTTATTAGAACAATCTTGATGAATGTTCTACGTTGAGTTGATTTGCTTGCAAGATGTATTTAACTGCTTTGAGAAAGCATATGAAAATTAGAAAAACTTTCATTTTTACTAAACTTTTTTTCGAAAAAAAAGTTGAAAAGTGGCTAACACAGCACATGAGTAAATTATGAGTCAACATTTTTCATTTTTATTAAACAAAAGTCAGATTCATGGTTTTGATATTGCATTGCATTTTGAACCTACAGATGTATATAGTATTGTGCAGGTGTGGGGGACCATTGCAAGTTCTCACGTGCACAACCAACAAGAATGACAGAATCTTTTATCATAAAGTATTCATTTTTGAAACAGAGTAGTATGTGTATAACAATAATGTGATCCTTTTATACTCTTGTCGTGTATGTTGCCAATAATTAACATGAGATTCAATAAGTCTAAGGACAGATTAGATAATTAGGTTGCTGTGGTGAGTAAACCTCCCAAATTATCTGGTTGATAATATAGCACTTGTTCAAAAGAAAATATTCAATGCAAAATTATTCTTCAAGGAAACAATCTTTTGGTTTTTAAATGTGTTAGATGTTTCTTAAATGTATGAGACAGTACCATAAACCTGAACTCTCAGCCTATGGTTGAAATGGAGGCTTACCTTACACGTGAATAATTTATTAGGTACTATCTATTATAGACGAGTCTAATTTTCATATTTAATTGTAATTGCCATTTTGAATCATGTAAATAAGGGGTTCTTTTAAAATATGAACTGAAGTGCATTCCGTCAAATCATATTGATATTTTAGAATAATTTAAAAGATTTGATATATTGATGGTTACTTATTGGTCGATTGTGTAAAAAAAATTTATATGGATGGTGTATGTCTGCTAAACACAAAATAATTATTTGCAACTTCTTCCACATTATGTGAACTTTCATATATGTTTTTTGATTTCGGAGATATATCTTCGGACGCACCAAAACTTAAGTGAACGTTGAAATATTCCGGATATGTGTCTCCGAAATATTTTGAAAGTTAATAACGCGTGAGACTCTTCTCCTCCCACAATTTTCATTTTCCTTTAATCTCACACTCAACTCTTTTCCTTCTCAATATTCTTTAACTTCACCTAACCATATTTCATCAATATGAGACTCAAGGAAACATAAATCATCATCCATTTTATCATTCAACATCATCAAAATCATAAATTTTGAATAAATTTTTAGAGTTTTCGGTAAATATTCGAGTTTTTGTGTAAAAGAGCAGGAATCAATTGTTAGGGGTAGAAATGTGTAGAAATCACATGTAACATAGTGTAGAGTTAGTATATGCATTGTTTGTTGGCTCAAAAGGATGATCAAATCTTTTTTTTTCACAATACAATTAGCAGAAGACGCCATTGTCGCGACCTCTGAAGATCAGAACATTTCGGAGATATATCTTTGAAATTGTTCAGCGTATCATATCCTCTAGGGTATTCCCGAGATGAATCTCCGAAGTATTCTAAGTAAAAAGATTTAAGGTGTTTCCGGAGATGTATCTCTGGAATATCCTACAGTTTGTTTTTTTCTTGTTTGTTTGTGTTGTCTGCACTAACGATACGACGTAATTTACCTTACACATATTATGGCTTATAGAGTCGACAGACTGAGACATGGTCGGGTTGTGTAACACCCCAAATAACCCCCACATATAATTAAATAAAATAAGAGTAATTATCCACAAAAATCATATTTAGGATGTCACCTTTCAACAAAAACCTGCTCATATAAATAGATATGAAACACCTACTACTTTTAAAATTATTAACAATAATAACGATAATGAAAGATTGTCTGAAAATTCAATTTTTATCAAAAACAACAGAAAAATTCAACATTAAGACAATCATTCAAAATAATATCATGTTTTCAAAAAGGTTGTAAATAACCACACAAAGGAGATATCCAAAAATCTTCAACATGCATAAAAAGGAAAACGTTCCAAGATCCCGGTGTAACACATCAGAGCAGACGCCGACACTAAAATTTTTTTGGAAGACTCCAGCTTCCACTCAAATAAACTCCTCTACTGCGAGTTATCTGCATGATGCCCATGAAAAGGCAAAATTCAAATAGAAGGGGTGAGATATCATAATTATATAAAGGAAAACATGAATATAAGTGAGCAACAGATTATTTCATGCACATCACTCATTCCACACAACCAACACAACAACCATCCAACACAATAATAACAACCATTCGACATATAGCAACAACATCCATCATACAACAACAACATCCAACATATAACAACAACATCCAACATTCAAATACAACATTCAACATACAACTACAACATATAACAACAACATCAAACATACAACTACAACATCCAACACAACAACATATGCAACTAATATGCAATATAATGAGACCCACAATCATACTCAATGCATGTGGTACCATTCAGTTCCTATTTTAGAACCCAATCCCTTTTTCAGAATCACAATTCCCGTCAGAATTCCAATACGTGAACACTCAGGTTCACCAGCTCCGATCCTCACCTCTTAGGATATTGAGCTCACAATTTGTTATCATCATCATCGATAACATCTCACTGATTCCACTCATCCCGTCAATTAGCTACAGGCATACAATCCTCACTTCCTAGGATTGATGCTCACAACAACGGACCAATGTCCCAACAGCACGAATGCATGCAACAACAACAATATCGAGTACAATGACCAACACCTCCATAGTCATGTACTCCGCCAATACTGGCCATCATACTCAAAATGCATGTTATAACAGTTTAGCAAGAACAACATAATAATATAGTAATTCAAAACAACAATAACAGTAATGCAATGTACAATGATATTCTTCTTAATCATTATAACACACTGTTGCGGTGAGAATAGATAAAAGTCGAAGAAACGATCGCGAAGACACTTTTAGAACAAATAGGGATTTTAGTACTTAGGAATTTATTTTTGTAATTTCTTTTGTAAAAATAGAATTTAATAAATAAATTCAATTTTTCAATTACTTCCTGTACTTTGTAAAACATATAGAAATTTAAATAAATAAATTCCACTTTCAACGGACCGACTTTATTTCTCGATTCAACTCCTCCGATTAAAATCTCCAAATAACTCATTCGATAAAACTTAAGCGAATAAATTCAGTTAATTAAATTTATCCGACTAAATTCACCTGATCAACGTCATCCGATTAAAATTCATCTGATTGAATTCAAACGACTAACTTCATCCAATTAAACTCATTCAAATAAATTCATTAAATTTATCCAATGAAATTTATCCGATTACGCTGTGATGTTCCAACTCCAAATCTGACAATTAATCATTTTGCACGATTTAAATCCGACGTATCCGCTGAGTTCAAACAAATCCCTTTGCGAATTAATTCGTATCTGATAATAAAGTCAGTGAATATAGCCCCGAACGGATAAGCAGATAAAATCAATTAACTGGCGAAACAAACTGTCTTCTGCCTTTAAAAATCAAATCGCATCTTGAATGATTTATCTCGGTAACCTGAAACAGCTCGACTGATAATCATGCTCAAACCAACAGATGATCATTATAAATTCAACACGCCCCGAAATTCTATTGTTCCTTTAAAATGGACTGGTAACTCGCAGAAAAACCGGGAAATTATGCACTAGCCAGAATAAATTCCTTGCAGCCGATTCTCGCACCGATTCAACCCAAATTCAATTACATTTCAGCGCCCTCAACTCCATATGGTTTATGATAAAGACCCTTATGCCCTTCATAAATTAAAGCGCACCCAGCGTTATTTTTCTGCAACAGCAACAGACTGAACAAACCGGTTAGCAGTTAGTTAAAACGCAATGTAGAATGAAATGAAATGCGAAATGACCCTAATAATCTAAGGGTAAAATTTAGGGTATGACAGTTGCCCCTATTTAAATAGCTTCACCAGATGATTTGAGCGACTTAGGCCCGAGAAATCATGGTGAAAGGGATTTAAATACAAATAACCGAAATTTTTTCCCTTAGAGGCAGTGAGATGCAATGCTATGGACAAAACGAGACGAACTATAATGCTAACAGTGCCATGAATCTAATATGATGCGTACGATGGAAATGATAAATGCAAGGATGCGGACGACACGATGACACAAGGGACAGACACAACGAGTAACCACACACTGGGGACGATGACACATTGGTGAAACAACACGACACTGGGGAATTCTAAAGTGATGGATCAACCGGTGCAAGCACGACCAGTTGTCACTTTAGGATGAAACGGTAACACATGATCCACATGGCGGCAGGACCAGGTAAACGAAAAGTGCTGGAGTTTTCGGGATATTCCTTTAAACGAAGAGATCGAGCGGGATCTTCAGGAATCGTCGGAAAATATACAGGGAGAAACAAACATCAAAAACATCTGGAAGAACATCGAATGAACTCTGAACCCCACCACAGACGCTCGGAAAAACATCGAATGAACTCTGGGTTGTATCCAGAAAAAAAATGAAAACATCTATAGGAGCATGCGATGAAGACAAGTCTCTGAAGGTACATCCGACACATTCAGGAAAGCATTAAATGTACGGGAAGAGTTTGAAGACATATCTGGAAGAACATCAGATAAGCAACAAAAGAGTTCTGGAAGAACATCAGAACCAAGACTCAATCTGGAAAAACATCAGAGAGAGAAACATATCCGAAAAAACATCGGATAGATTCTGGGAAAACATTATAATCAAAGGGAATATCTGGAAAACCATCAGATAAGTTCTGGAAGAACATCAGGACAATGACTCAATCTGGAAAAACATCAGAAAGAGAAACAAAAGGGGTCCTGGAAGAACATCAGAACAAAGACTCAATATGGAAAAACATCAGAAAGAGAAACAAATTCAGAAAACCATCGGATAGATTCTGGAAAAACATCAGAGTCGAAGGAAAATATTTGGGAAACCATCAGATAAGTTCTGGAAGAACATCAGAACAAAGACTTAATCTGGAAAA